TTCAAGAACAGAGAATCTTACTTTGTAATCAGTATTAAGATACATTTTTTAAGATGTGGGTTTCTGTATACATTATATTACCTAATATAATTTATAACCTAAACAAAAATGCCAAAGTTTTTCACATTGAAAGACATCCTAGAAGCAGAATCAAAATGATATCATTTAAATATCCAAACTTCTGTGATATTTAGAATTTTCTTTCAATAAAAAAAGTGGCAATGAGCCGGGCATGGTTGCACAAGCCTGTAGTCCCAGCACTTGGGAGGCAGAGGCAGGCGGATCTCTGTAAGTTCAAGTCCAGCCTGGTCTACATAGTGAGTTCCAGGCCAGCTGGGGCTACAGGGAGACTTTCATGCAAAGATTTTATATATATACATATATATATATCTTAATTTATTATTTGTATTTTATGTGTATGCGTATATTGCCTGTATATAGGTAAGTGCACCCATGTCGTGCAATGCCGGCAGAGGACAGAAGAGGCTGTTGGAGCCCTGGAACTGGAGTTACAGACAGCTGTTAGCTGCCATGTAGGTGCTGGGATTTGAACCCAGGTCTTCTGCAAGAACAGTCAGTATTCTTAACCGCTGAGCCATCTCTCCAGCCCTGCAAAGATATATTTATAATAATATGATTACATTATATCATATATATCTCAAAGCAAATTAAACCACTTAGTCTGTGTACTGTACTGAGTATACAACAAACACAGTGCCATATTTGTTTTAGTGCTGTAATTGTGTTCTGTTAGTGTTTTCCTTTCTTCATACTATTTTGTTCTTAACTAGCAAAGGTGAAGTTAGAAATTCTAGTATACCTTCCTATAAAACTTCCGAATCATAGTTTTGTATCACACCTGATATTTGTCTTTTATCCAATATGGGTATAAAATTTGCCACTTTTACTCTGTACTTATTACTATAACTGTTTTTCCCCATTCCTCTTTAAAAGCAAAATGAGTTTCTCATTATTACTTACAAGTTTGAGCTTATAATTCAATACAAGCATATATATATGTGTGGCCTTTTTTTTAAAGACAGGGTCTCCCTGTAGCCCCAGCTGGTCTGGAACTCATTGTATATAGACCAGGCTGGCCTTGAACACACAGAGATCTGCCTGCCTCTGCCTCCCAAGTGCTGGGATTAAAGACATGTGCCACTGGCGCAAGCATATTTTAAAGTAATCTTACTTGTAGAGCTGGCCAGTCCCTACCCCCAGTAAACCTGATTCTCTACTATGAAGTTGTTGACTACAATGTAAAAAACAGTACTTCATGACCCAAAACAATTGGGTGTTATTTCTCAAAATTCTATGGATTAGTTTATTTCATCTGGGCTGTTGTTGATACTGTTTGGAGTCACTTTGAAGATTCATTTAGTTAGACTCTTAGCTGAGGCTATGTGTCAGAGTGAGAAAATACCCAAGAGAGGATCAATTTAAAATCAACTTAAAGGAAGAATGAGTTCTTTGAGCTCAGTGCTTAGAGCTTTCAGTTCATGGTCAGCTGGCTTGCTGTTTTGGGCTGTGGGTTCTCATGACAGTGGCACACAGGGCAAGAAACTGCTCACCTCATAGTGGCTGGGGAGCAAAAGACAGAAGTCTGGTGTCCCAATACCCCATCAAAGGAATTCACTTAGCAATCTAACTTCCTCCCAGAGGCCTGTTTACAGTTCCCAACACCTTCCAATGGTGCCATAGACTGGCAACCAAGACTTTAGCACATGGTTCTGGGGATACTTACCCAAACCATAGCAAGCTGGAATGCACAAAATAGCTTTATTCACATATCTAGTGCCTCAGTTAGGGTTTGGAGACAGTTATCCTTCCCTTCCTCTTCTGTGTATTAGTTTCTCATCATTCAGTATCTTGGTCTGAGTTTCTTTATATGATGACTGGATCCTAAGCTCAGAAGTCATTTAGCATCACCTCTACAACATCTGCTTGTTTAAAACAAGTCCCTGAGCCAGCTGAGGTTCAAGACATAGTCATTACCTCATGATAGGAAAAGTGGCATAAACTTATATGAATGGGAGGAATCCTTGGTGGCCATTTGAAAAACAATTTTATTTTATGTAGATGAGTATATTTACTGCATGTAGGTAAGTGCACCTGTGTCATGCAAAGCCTGTGGAGATCAGAAGAAAGCATTGGATCCCCTGGAACTGGAGTTACAGACAGTTCTTAGCTGCCATGTGGGTGCTGGGAATCGAACCTGGGTCCTCTGCAAGAGCAGCCAGTGCTCTTAACTGCTGAGCCATCTCTCCAGCCCCAGTGGCCATATTTATAAACAGTCTACTCCTCTCTATACAGAAAAATGATTCCAAATGGATTATTCCTTTTGACAGTAGTCAGTCAAGATTCTGAGGCTTTTCAAAAATTGTATCCTTAATAATATGATGGAGTTTTTATAATTACAGATTACAGTTTTATATCAAACCCTGAACCCATTGAATAGAGAAAGAATATTCTTCTTAAGCAAGCAAGAGAAAGGGGCTTTGAAATTACTCATGGGTTTGCAGTTTGCCTCTGGTTTGCAACTGCTAATACCCTGGGCACAATTTTCTTCCAGCCCTTCCCTTTTTGCCTCTGTATTTATAGGATTAAATTAATGAATATATGCAAAAATCTAAGAAAAGTGCTAGCACACAGCAAGTAGACAAGCAACAATAGTTTTTAAAAAAATTATCATTGTCTATCATCGTAAGACATAATAACAACATTTCAGTACCTCGTGGAGCTCTAAAGTTCTCCATATTCTCATTAAATATGATCACTACTCCAGATTACTTTCCCTGCTTCCCTTATCCCAACAAATAAAACATAGAAATAGAAAGTATCCTTTAAAAAAAAAAAGGCTGATTAGCACTCATTCTAAAGAAGTGATTTATTGACTAAAGATGGCTCAGTGGTTAAGAGCACTGACTGCTCTTGCAGAGGACCTGGGTTCGATTCCTAGCACCCACATGGCGGCTATGAACCATCCTTAACTCCAGTTCCACGGGAATCGGAAGCCCTCTTCTGACCTCTGCACATCGCATGACACAGGAGCGCTCACATACATGCAGGCAATATACTCATACACATAAAATAAAAATAAGTAAAATACTAAAAAATTACAACCTGTACCAAGAAATCTAGTCTACTTTATGACACAGGATATGTACATGGATATACAGATACTCACATGTATACAGCACATGTTTTGGGAACAGTTTGGTTTTATTCTATTCTAGTCAATGAATTCAAAACACAATGTTGGTTGTGACTCACTGTATTAATTTTATAACCTATTAAACAAAGGATTCTGAGCTTTATCTTAAGGTGTACTGGGATTAGGAGATCAAATAGACAACACTTTTGGAATAAGAATTGCATCAGTTGTGGTGGTTTCAGGATGTGACATATGTAATTTCCATAGTTGTTTGGGTTATAGCGGAAAAAGTTCCCTCCCAAACAGGAACTGACCTCTCAAGAGGCTTCAGAAATTCTTTCAGTGGGACATAGGGACTAGTGGGTAGGCATGTGCACAATATGTCTTCTTGTTTGCGGCAAGATAGAGTCAGATGGAAGCCCAACTTCACAACTCTCCTCTTTTCTTTTTCTTTTTTCTTTCTTTTTCTTTTTCTTTTTTTTCTTTTTTTTAAGACAAGGGCTCGCTTATGACTCTGGCTGTCCTAGAACTCACCATGTAAAGACTGGCCTTGACCTCACAGAAATTTGCTTGCCTCTGCCTTCCAAGTGCTGGGACTAAAGGCATTCACCGCCATCCCCATTTCAAGTCTTGGTTCATTGTTTGCTAACATAATTCATCAATAATATCTACTTTGACTAAATATGAGAGTTAAATGAGAGCACACACACATTACAGCCTAGCAAGGTGTTGGCCACTTAGAAGACACACAAGTGTTTCTTGTTTCTTTCCCTTTGCGTGGATCACAGGTACCAGAATTCAGAATGCTTATTTAGGTTGTGTATTTGATATTTTTGGAGGAAAGCTGAGATTTTATAGAATAAATGTGATAGTCAAACACTATTACTTCTTCATTGAAATTTAAATTTTGTTACCATGGAGCGTCTCAATGTCTTTTTTAAATTATTATTATTTTTATTTTATGTGTATGAGTGTATTGCCTACATGTAAGTGCACCCAAGTCATGCAATGCTGATGGAGGCCAGAAGAGGGCATCAGATCCCCTTAAACTGGAGTTAGAAACGGTAGTTAGCTGCCATGTGGGTGGGAATGGAACACAGGTCCTCTGGAAGAACAGTCAGTGCTCTTAACCACTGAGCCATGGCTCCAGCTGGCCAATATTTTAAGAATAGTTCATAACAGTTAATAGTTGTTAATTATTCTGAGGTATGTATTTACATTATGAAATAATTTTGTATCTTCAGGATTCGTGTAGTAAAATTTGTATTAATTTCCCAGCTATCCAAACAATCATGCAAAAAAAAAAAAAAAAAGTCTTAATAGATGAGAAAAACTTGTTAGGTTGCTATTAAAAAAAGAAAAGAAAAATGGAATGCAAAATGAAAGCACTACTCTTCCTCTAGTATAGAGCATGAGAGGTTGCCAGAATCCATTAGCATGCCTGGCCTACAGGATTTTTATGATCAGTTAACTAGTTTCCAGGGCTTAAATGAAGGTTTCCTATGGTCCTAGACAGATATGCACCCCACCCTTTCTGATGGGTCTGTAGGATAGGGCTGGTCATTTCCAAATTGCTGTATTGAAGCTGGGGATTCTGCATGTGTGACTGAGGGGCGGAGGCGGTAACATATCTTCCCTCCTCCCGGGTGTCACCCAGCTACAGGCCGCAGACCCGGCAGCTCCCACGTGGCAAGTCCAGATTGAGCAATGCGGGGCGCGCGGCAGGCGGGCGGGTTCCGGGGATCCTGGCAGCTGCGGACCTTCCTCCCCGCGGCGAGCGCCGGCTCGGTCCTCCACCGCCAGGGGGCGTGCGCGGCTGGCTGCGGCGGCGGGGCCCATTGGCTGCGGGAAGCGTGGGAGGAGGCCGGGGCGAGCTGGCTTCCTCCTAGGCGCGAGCCGGACGGCGGGCCCGCGGGAGGAGCAGGAGCGAGCCAGGCGAGAGCGGGAGGCGGCGGCTCCCGTCGGCCTCCGGCAGGACTGACGGCGGCACGGCCGCAGACGGGTGAGGCGCAGGGAGGTGGCGAGGCCGGGAAGCGGTGGAGGGGACAGCGGAACCCCAGCCGGCTGCCCTGCATCCCCTGCATCCTCGGCGGGGCCCGGGGGCGCGGCGGGAGCGGGGCCGGGGCTGCGGCCGCGGTGCCGGAGTGGGGCGGGGGCGAGGCCGGACCCGGGACGAGCATCGCGGCCACGCGCGTCTACACCTGGCGCTGAGTGGCGGCCGCCGGGCTCAGGCTGCACGGGAACCAGGCGTCTGCACCTCGCGGTAGCGGTCAGCTTTCCAGGAGGCGGGCATGGACTTGCATGCTGGACTTGCCTCTATGCAGGGCCACCTTGACTCACTAGTAAAGTTTGTTTCTGCCAGACTGGATCTACTTTCTGTTTTTATAAACGAATACCAAGAAAACCATTTGTTTTCTTTGATGAAGGTGGCTCGTTCCTTTTCTTCGTACCCCCTCCCCCCTTTCATAGTTCTGTAGCATGCGTGATTAGCAGTGCCCATACCCGAATAATGACAGACTGACGGTTGGAGATTGGTGTGTCTGCCTGTGACTTGTGGAGAGTCATCTCTCTCAACTTAAAAAATTATTTCCCATAATACAGAGCTATGTGATAGAACTTTTTGTTTCCTTTTGGGCGGAAATATATGGATAAAACGTCACTAAATAGTGCTGCTTTTCTGTCTTAAAGATGCCCACTACTTTCACGGGCTTATTTTTTCTCACAACTCTCTGAACAGGTTCTTTTATCTACTTTCCCAATTTTACAGATTCAAATAGGCATTTCCTGAGATGTTAAAGCATGCATCGATGGAACTGGCAGATCCCTTTGGTGCATTCCTTGAGGGCTAGTGATTTTCTATACATTTTCTAAGTCTTTGGAGAAAATTGTTACCTACACAGTGCTTTACAAAGTACAGAGAGAGAAATCTCCATTCAAGTTAGAAAATGAAGCTAATAACTTACCTGATGTCCTTAGACAGGAAATTGGCAGGGTTGGCCTGTCTGCTTCTGCCTGTGTCCTAGTTCCTGGAGTTTTCAAGCCTTTCTCTGGCTGTTTACTAGATTTTTTTTCTCCAGTTTTATACAAGTTATTAGGAGCTTTGTCTCGCAGATTCTTAGAGTGTTTTCTCTACTTACTTTTATAAAAGCCAGCATTCTTTATAGGAAGAAATTTTAAAAATATATTAAAAGACAAGACAAAAGTTTCCTCAGGCCACAAGAGTTCTGTAGCTGTATTGTTGTGGCTCTGGGAGCCCATACAGTGATGAGCATCTCTGGCAATGAGTTCCAGTTGATTTTCATCATGAGTGCTAGCAGGCTTGTTAAGGTTTGGCTAAGAGATAGGTGTGCTAACTAACCGCACCATTCCTTACCTTCAGTTAGTGGTCACAGTGGAAAGTGGAGCTTGCAAAGCTGTTAGAGCAGATACAGTTTTACTTTTGAGGCTTCTTTCTGCATTTGGCCAGTGACTGGTAACCTGCTCTCCTGTTTTGGGCACATGGAACCAGTCATTTCTACCACTTCTTACAGGTGGTTTGGCTGACTGAATCTGGTGAACCTCAGTGCACTTGAGTTTTGCAGACTAGGTAAAGTGTAAGTGAAGTGGCAGTGTGTGGGCGATTCTTAAATATCGAGATTAAGTACCTGTAGCTTCTCATCTGGTACGGTGTCAATTAATGGTTGATGAAGATCACACATACACTGGGTATAAATTTCTGTCTTCATTTAATAATGTTTTTGAAAGCAGTCTGTAAGAGGACTTCAGTATCCTATTTTATCCATCCTTGTATAAGTAAAAAAATTTTAAAAAATTTTTATCATTCTTTTAAAAGTTAATTTATTTTGTTCCTTCTTGTGTGGGGGTTGGGGGGAGGTTATGTACCATGTCACAGGAGTTGAGGTCAGGGAACAACTTGTGGGAGTTGGTTTTCTCCTTCTAAGCATGTGTTTAGAATTGAACTCAAGTGGTCAGGTTTGGTAGCAAGCACCGTTTCCTTTTGAACCATCTTGCTGTTCCCTTGTCATCTTGATATTTGTTTCTGTCTGTGCTTTCCCTGGATGGTATAGGCTAAGGATCAGCTGTTTAAAGAGTTGTAGAATTCTAAAATAGTAGAAAAAACTAAATATTAATTTGTAGGACTCTGTCCTCTTTTGGTATGCTTGTGATCTGGATTCTAGAACTCTAATCACCATTTTATTTCTTCAAGAGAGTATTAGCTTTCTAAGCAAAATCCTGCTTTATAGAAAAGAACTGCAAGAAAATATTTGCATAATTTAAAATCAAAGACTCTGTTTTAACCACTGCAAATGGTTCTTCCATTCCTCCCCACAGTCTCCAGATTCACTCAAGCTCTGCCTCTCCATCTTCTACACCACAGACCTGGCCCAGGGACAGTCTTATTCCTTGTTCAGAAAAACATGGAAAATCCTACTATGTGAATTGTTCTTGGGGGTGGGGACTCTTTGTTTTAGCTCTGTCTTAGTTTTTATTTTTCTGTATGCTTTCTCTGTGTGGATTGGCATGTTGTAACTCTAAAGTTCTCATCTCTAACCCTGGGAGAGGATCACTTGGAGCTTATTAAACATGTAGGAATTTCATTCACCCCTACCCTGAAGATTCTGATTTTGCAGTTCTGCAGTTGGCTCAGGAATTTGCTTGTTAAAAGGTGATGCTGACAGCCACAATGAGGGTAACACTGTCCTTGGGCCTTCAGAGAACTTGATAGGATGTGTCACTGAATCTGTGGTACAAATCTATGGTTTGTAAAGCACATCATTTTACTACTTAGAAAAATGTGTTTTGGAAGCCTCCCAATTTAGATGTATTTAATGAGAAGGCAGTGTGCCTCTTAAAATCAATTGTGCAAGTTTTCAGGTGTCTGAGGAAGGGAAGGGCTTCTGTTGTTATGTTAAAGAGTTATTGTGAGGCATAGGACTGAGATAAAAAACAGTTATTCTGGGCTGGGGAGATAGCTCAGTGTGTAAAGTGCTTGCCAGGAGAAACCCTAGGGCTTCCCGGCCAGCCTGTTTAACCTAATGAGTAAACCCCAGTTTCAGTGAGAGACCATGGGAAGAGTGACTGAAGAAGACATCCAGCATTGACTTCTGGTTTCCCCTGCAGCTGCACACAGGCACACACCCACACAAATACAATATACACACAAAACAGTCACATCAGTATTTCTTCAAATGTTCCGGACCACATAAACTACTTGTAAGAGTTTACAGAAGGCACCCCTACTTTACATGTGTTTGTGATGAAGATTGTACTGATGACTGGATTTTAAATGTCAGGTAAAGTGTCACACCTTCTAGCATGGCTCTGCTTTCTCAGTCATTTATGTCTTAATGGCTCAGTACAGTCTTGTATCATGTGGCATTTACATGAAGTTGCAGGATCATTTGATCTGTAGCTTTTAAAAAAAAAATTAGGCAAAAACTTTTATTTCTAGACTCTTCAAAGAGCATTACAAAGTCACCTAAAAGTTTCTCAAATGAAAGCAAAGGCAATCACTCATGTAAAACATTTGGGACATGAATTTTTTAGGTTGTAATATTTTCACATGTTTTTTAGCCCTTTGCAATGTTCTATATGTAGGTCACATTTTAAACATTTTTTTAAAGTCATAAAGTAATGTAGGATTTTTTAAAGGAACAAGCACAATTTTTTAAAAGTAAAGGTGTAAGATAGGAATGGAAAGAGACCCAGGTAGCAAAAGGAAGAAACCAACCTCCATGATCTAGATTGACCTTTTATTAGTCAATGAGGGAAGGTAGCTAGCTACCTAGGGGGAATCAGCACAGCAACCACACTGATTCAAGTGGCAGGCAAGTTATATGACTTGGTATTATAAAGGGCCTAGGGCCTGATAAAGGCTGAAGGGCCTATTTTCAAAACAGGAGTTACTTTATGGCTAGGGGTAGTATATTCTTTGGGGCCATAGTTTTTAACAATGCTCTGATAAGGCCCTTGTCAGTGGGAGTGGTGGTTTATGACTGGATAGGGGGGTTTTGTGCAGTCTCCCTTTATTCCATACCCTGAAGTGGAATAGATTGGGAAGAGGGGGGTGCCTTAAATCATCCCGACTGCTTTTTGCTGAGGAGGGGTTGTTGTGGTGCTGGGGGTTTCAGGGTCCATCAGAAGAGGGGCATAATGGAGTCTCTTGGTGGTGTGGAGCAGGACCATTGTCTTGAACTTGAGGTGGAGGCTTGGGCAGTTATGTGGGCTACTGTAGTAAAGAGATTCTGTAAGAGTCTTTGAAGACAATTGATAAAGCATATAGTGGGCTTATTTCTCTTGGCTGCAGGTAGGCATTGCAATGTTGCATTAAGCCAAGATTTGAAGTCTTAACATTTAAGTAGCAATTTTTATTAAGAACTTAAGTCTAATGGCTGGGAAGTAATTAATCCCTTGGACTCTTAAAGATAAACAGTTTAATTTTTGGTTATGCTTTCCAGTTGGGTGTTTTTAAACGTTGCACTTGGCCCAAATTAATTTTCCTTTTCATTGCATTTCAGTTGAATGCAAGGACCTCTGGTTCTCAGGGGTCACTTGGGGTTTGGAAGGTGTCCCTGGCTCCTTTAGTCTTTCCTTTACCAGTTCTACCTTGTGAGGAAAAGTCAAAGTCTGCTTGACTGTGTCTCTGCTTGAAAGCATTGAGGAAACGTTTCCTTGCTGTGTTAACCCTTCCCTTTGTAAACCAGGCATGGGTTCAAGTCCATCTACTAGGGTCTCCATAGCCTCCCTGAAAGAAAAAAAAAAAAAACATGATTAATGAAAAGAAAGAACAAAATTATTTATAACTTAATTTAAACAAAATTAGTATTTTATCATCTAGGAATATATCAAGTGAAACATGATATATCAGAAACTATTAAAAATATTGAATTCAGCCAGGCATGGTGGCACATGCCTTTAATCCCAGCACTCAGGAGGCAGAATCAGGTGGATCTGTGTGAGTTCAAAGCCAGCCTGGTCTACATAGTGAGTTCCAGGACAGCT